TATATATATATATATATATATATATATACACACACACACACAACTTTATATGGGTAAGGTAACTTGGCCAATTGTCAGTTAGTTCGTTTTTTCTGTAGTATTATTATCATTTTTTGTTAACGTAACTTTTTTTTTACAGCATTGGCTAATACAGTGCAATTAAGACTGTGATAAATCACTACTTGTTTTTCATAAGGCTTTGAGTCAGATGTGCAGGCTTGCAACCAAGATCCTCTATTAAGCTGACCATGGTCAGATCTCCCAGGAATACTGCAGGACTAAAACAGCTTTTATTAAATAATATTTAAGAACTGTAGCCATTCGCCTTGATTTTTAAAATATGCAAAGTTTCACCATCTGTATAGAGAGAGACAACAATGTTATATAACTTGTGTTAAACATCTCTGTGGTTAATCAGACTGTGGCAGCTATTTTAACCCTCATGCCAGGATGAAAAAGCCACACAATCACTAACATTCAGACTACATATATTCTTATATAACTTCAGTGCCTTTTAATGGGCATCACACGACATTAACCAGCACTGTTAATGTAAAAGCATCATCTTGTATTTTATTCTCTTTTTGTGGGAGGACAGATATTGCACCCAATGAACCAAATGTTAATTCTGGCCCCAGTGTACAAATGAATAACAGAGGTGTGATATTTAGTCTCAAAAACAATGAATCAGGCAAGTCATGCCATAGACACTGCATCCATTTGCTCACAATCATCATAAGGATGTTCCCTAAAGGCAACAGATTTATTGCCACATGGTTGTTTACGTCTGTTACAACGCATTGGTAGAGCAAGTCAAATGGAAACAGAGATACCTGCACTGGAGTAGCACACATTAGTGGTTTGGGAGAACAGTGACACCCTCCACATTGCCTGTAGGATTTTAATTAAATCTGGCCACTAGAGGGAAAGCATTTCAAATGAAGGAAGGGACTGAGAGCAGAAACATCTCTAATATAGGAAACATTCACCTTTATCCTCATTTAATTGCTCTAAGTTCTTTAAACTTCATGAAAGTAATACATCACAACAAGACTGGCCTATTTTGACAAACCCTTTGTCTTTTCATCGTACTCTAGTCTAGTTACCAGTGATATATCATATAATATCATGTATTGATAATATAATATAATATAATATAATATTTTACAAGCACACAAGAATCTGTCTGTTGCGATGATGATTAGGTACTGACATGATAGTAGAAACAAAATATTGTTGCTGTAGATGCTGTGATGCAAAGGTGTATGTTTTATACACTATTTATTTATTTATTCATTCATTCATTCACTCATTCTAGTGTTGTTAATTGTTGACAAACTTTTAAAATTGTTTTTAGAAATTGAAATAAAGCTGAAATAAAATAAAATAAAATTGTAATATTATATGAAAACCCCAAACGTAAACATTTTTTTTTGAGAAAATTAGAAATGTTTCCTTGGAAATGAACTGTAAAAAATAAATGTAAATAAATTTAAGTTGAAATACTAAATTAACAATTAAACTTAAACATAATTAAATAATTAATATATAACAATAATAAATTAATAATAATAATAATAAATAATATATAATATAATATAATAAATATAATATAATAAATATAATATAATATAATATAATATAATATAATGTCTTTATTTATGCAAAAACTCTAATCTAAAAAAATCTAACTGAGATAAAAGACTGGGGCTGAATAGGTTTAAAAAGCCTATGTGTTGCTGTGTTGCACATGTTTGTTTCAGAAACTATTTGTCCTTGCATGTTTGCATGTTCAGCTTAAGCTAGCACTTCTTAAAATATCTTTGAATGTACCATATGTACCTGTCTTTATATATTTATGTGTATATTTAGCCTTAAAATATTTAACCTTATTTATTAATCTATATAAAATATTAAATTATAACCACAGATGTTGCCACTGTCTGACAGTTTATGTCAGAAAATTCTATAAATGAGAGCGATTTAATGATTTATTTCTCATTCAGAGTGTGTTTTTCAGTAACGTTTACTAAGCATTATAAAGGGTTATTAAAGGGTATAATGCATTATAATTATTCATAATGTGCATTGTAATATCTTGTAAATAATTATAACCGAATTTAAAATGCATAGGTTAACAATTAATTGATAAGTGTTATAACTGTGGTTACAATTATTCATGTGATTGTACAATGCATTACAATGCATGTACTTAGCTTTAAGTAAAGTGGACCGTTTTTCTCTTTTTTTCTAAAATGTCTTCTGCAGAGCTTGGTCTGGTATAAAGCCAGGAATTGGGATTATTTGCTTTTAGTTTTTTTTCTTCAATGCTGTAAACAAAGCCTTACGGCTGTTTGTTGTACATTTAAAAAGGATTGTCAAAGGATGTTTATCTCATATCCCAGCACAACCTTCTGAAATCTACTACATCATTCCCAGCTGAATATTTCTCTCTCTCTATTTTTCTGTGTATCCACTGACACAACAATCTCTTGACCTGCATTTTTAAATGCCGTACTGACCTTGGCTTAGAGTAAAACGGGATGCACACTGATTTGTATTGGTCAAATCCTGCCATCACAAACCCTCAGATACCTGTGCACATGGCAGATGGGACAGTTTTGAAATTGTGAATGTGCATGCTCTTGCTCTTTAAAGACTGGTTGTCACACTGCAATAATGTATAGTTTGCCAGGCCTCTGTGTCTCAACTCTAATCCCCAGCATGTGGACATCTGTGCATCAATGGTGGCGGCACTGGGAAAACAGAAACAAGCTCCTGTCATGGGATTTATGAATGGAGTCCCTCTGCTTCAGCACTTTTTACTCATAATATAATATAATTAAAATATATAATGTAATATTTAACTATGAAAATACTACAAATATTAATTAAAAACTCCCATTAAAAAGTGGAATGGAATCACATGCAAATATTTGCTCATGGAATCACGTTCGATGATGTTTAAAAAAACATCCCAGAATGCACCTCATGAGGCTGGTTGAAAGAAATCCAGAGTGTTAAGTTAATTTAATAGTCTTGACTTGTTAAACGTCTTTCGGTCACCTGCCATTTGTGCCATTGGTATAGTTTGATGACTTTACTATTTCGCTAAAATGTGAAAAATAGGTATTTAAGTGTTTCCAGACTAGGTAGTGTTTAGGACATATACAATAGTGCCCACAAAAAAGGGAAGTTTGATGCATGGCTCTGTAGCTCTCAGTTTGAACAATAAACTGTAAAAAAAACTTTGAATCAAAAGTCTCGTGACAGTCATGGGAGCAGACTTATGACTGTAGCGAGGCATTCTGGGTTTCTTCAGTTTTGTGGTTAGACAGGAATGTAAAGTAACAGGAAACAGATGTAGAGTTTGCTGCTAACAGCTAGCTGAGTAAAGGAGGAGGTTTTTTTTTTTTTTTTGCTGTGTAATGTGACTGAACATTTGTCATGCTGGAGCTATTTAAATTTATATTAATACAACAATTATTAATTAAATTAATACCTGATATACAAAATAATTTCACAACAATTTAATTGTGTTCACACCGACAATATCTGCACTCACAAATGTTTAAAAGAGATATATATAAGGCTTAATCCTTAATGCTGTAGCAAAAACACACTTGAACACACACATAACGCTGGCTCTGATCAGGATCAGATGAACGATAAAAAAGCCAAAAGTTTTCTAAAGCATGAATGAGCAGGTGTGTATTACCAAAAAATTTTTCAATCATTTAATGTATCCGGTCAAATTTGAAGTCAATCCTTCTTTTTAGGTATTGCAGTTTAATATGTAATAATATCAAATTAATTCCAGTGAACACTGTGTTTTACTGAGAAACTGCAGTAAATGAGATGCACAGTTAGTATCTGAAGTATCTTTCTTGCCACAGTGGGGTGGGGGGGGGCATTTGTTGAGTTTATTGAAGTGCTGGGGTATTATTTTATTGACTAGTTTGTACATTTGGTGAATGATGTGCAATAAATTGAAATGAATAGCAACTGTGTTCCACAAACAATTTGTGCAAATCTGACTAATCCAATCCTAGTTTTTAAGATAAATACATTTGGGAAACACTTTTTTTGTTTCCCATAAACAAAGCTGAATACATTCTTAAATTTAGTCTTCTCAGGCTTGTAATCATGTCAGCAGGCTGTACTGCTTTTGGCCTGTGATATTTATAGGTTTGCTTGTATGTTTGTGAGTAATCTGCACATAGTGTGAACAACTAACATTAGGGGACTTTCCTCGACATACATTTATATCTTAGTGCTGACCGCATGCCTATACAGTAGACATCATGGGACAATTTTCACATAGACCTCATGCAGTGACACACTGCACAGGGAACTCAGGTTGTTGACTAACAAGCGGAAGTGTTCATGACAAGCCAGCATGGCCCTAGGAGAACCAAGCTTAGAAAGAGATGCTATTTATTGATCCCATCAAATCAGTTGAGTTTGAAGTCAACTGATTGTCCTTTATTTATGCCAGCAAAAAAAAAAAAAAAGTGAAAAAAAAGCTGAAAATGTGAGCTGATGAATGTACAGAAGGTTACAGTCTCCAAGATGAGAAAATGTGCATCACTTAATCACATCCGTCCTTTTGCAGGATCACAACAAAAAATTCCCTGAAAAGCTGAGTGGACTGTTTCTTTTGTTAGTGTGACTAAGACCATCTAGCCTGCTCAAAGGTATAAATGCTAATGAGAATCAATGGCAAGAATCAAAAACTGCTGTCAGTAAGCAATTCCCAAGACATTATAGAGAATTTAAGCAGTTTTGGAACATAAAGGACAAGCTGCAGCAAATGCATTATGTAAAACTAATGGTTAAATAATGGATGAATTGCTACAGCTTGCAAATTTATTTTCCTGGCAACTGTATATGCACATGATTTCACATCATTTAAAGCTAAAAAATAATATAAGGTATCTCTAAAATATTATAATTTCTGTTGTTGGTAGTGTTGGTTTTAGTACATTTAATTTTAATTTCAAATACAAATCTCTTTCACACTATTCCCAACTTCCCACTTTTCCTAAAACTGTAACCTGACTCCTGAGTCCTGACATCATTGCTCTGAGCTGGTGTTTAAACGATTCCAGATGAAGCGGGTCTTCCTCCTTTTCCCGCAACAGGAGCAACTTCCTCAAAACGTCAGCATATAAAGAGGTCGTCCACTAACCCAGTTTCATACCAGCATCCATCTTTTGTTCTGAACTTCTGGAAATCATCCAGGTAACCGAGGTTCCTCGTCCGCACTCTGTTTTTCTTTTTGACTCGTCTTAATTTGTTTACATTGTTTATATGTAAAGTGTTGTAAACGCCTGTTTTAATACTTGTAAAAAAAGTATGAAAATTCGAAACGTTTGGAGTTGTGGGTGCAGCTTTGTTGCAATCACTTTCGTTTTCTTTTTATTCTTCACGAAAACTTTAAAAACTTTTTAAAATATAATAACAAATAGTACATTTCTTCTAGCTCATTTCAGAAATCACCACTTAATCCTTATTTCTCTGAACTGCTTGAATAAGTTTCACTGCGGTGAAGCTTCACTCGTTTTTGTTTGTGGTTTGCAGTTATCACGCCACGTACGTTGCAAGAGCGCCGCTGGCGTGATATACAGTAGTGTACAGTGTGGCTTTACACCTCTGACTGTAGGTCTGTTTGTCAGGGCATAATGTATGCGTTTGGTGGAATCACCCTACTCGTGGTGGTGTGGTGTGGACTAGCTCACACTTTGGAGAATCTCACACTGGATGAGGCATGGGAGAGCTGGAAACTCACCCACAAGAGGGAGTACAATGGCCTGGTGAGTAACAGCCTATGAAGACAATACAATATTTCCTTAGGGTGCCAAAAGAGTGAATGAACTAGATTGGGTTAGTGTTTTCATGAAAAAGCCATCTGTTTCTCCCTTCTCTGGTAAAAAAGAGAGGAAAACTAGCTTGTATTTGTATGACTACATTGATTGGAATGTACTGGCTAAGTCCTTTTCTAAGAGGTCTGTGCTTTTACATGCACTGCAACTCAATATATAAAAAAAGAAAAAAGAAAGACAATCTTACAGCCTTAGGATTGGTAAGTTATTTTATAGAGTTTTAAGTATTAGGTGCAAATTCTACCTAAATCCTCACTTAAAGGTGCCATGCATTATAAAGATTAGATGCATTAAAGAAATAGTTCAACCAAAAAATGAATATGTGCTAAAAATTGACTCATCCATAGGCCATCCAAGATGTAGATGAGTTTGTTTGTTCACTGGAAGAGATTTGGAGAAATTTAGCATTACATAATTTCCTCATCAATGGATCCTCTGCAGTCAATGGGTGCCGTCAGAATGAGTTTATCTGATAAAAAACATTACGATAATCATCAAGTAGGGTAATCCACATGACTTCAGTACATCAATTAATTCTTTGTGAAGCAAAAAGCTGCATGTTTGTAATCAAATCCATCAAGATATTTTTATCTTCAAATTGTTGCTTCTGGCTAAAATACGAGTTCTCTATTATTCGAATTACTGTAATATAACGTTCAGGTTCATGCAATGCATCATCAGCTGGTGGTTTATACAGTTTGAGAACCAAGCACTTGAGCCAAGTGTTGTTTTATGGTGGACAGGATGAAGAGTCTATTCGACGGGCGATTTGGGAGAAGAATATGCTGTTTATTGAAGCCCATAACAAAGAGTACGAACTGGGGATTCATACCTATAATCTGGGCATGAACCATTTTGGAGATATGGTAAGTGCCCTAATTCAATCTGCTAATATTTTGCTGCTGTAAAATGTTTAATGTATTGTTTTACAAACATTTGCCAGTCTTATGTGTTGGAAAACATCTGCATATGTGTGATCCTGCCCCTTTAAGTTTAAGATATCACAATCTTGCTAAACCTGTTTGCAGAGTATACATGACAACAGCAATGTTCCATCAATAATCTATTATAAAGGCATGTTTACTGAAACTAGATCCAACTTGATAACTTTTTTCAGGGTTGATCAGCTATTTGAATGAAGTTTTTTGTCTAATGCTTATCTCTCTGCAGACACTAGAAGAGGTGGCAGAGAAAGTCATGGGACTTCAAATGCCCATGTACCAGGACCCAACTAACACATATTTGCCTGATGACACGGTGGAGAAGTTGCCCAAATCAATTGACTACCGTAAACTGGGATACGTCACTTCTGTCAAGAACCAAGTGAGGAAATAACAAAATATTTCAGTAATATTGCGGTAATATTTCCTCATTCTGAGAAACTCTCACACGATCAACCCTATCCTCATCCTCAAGTGCTTTCACACAAATTTCCACAGAATGAGGGTTACCATCTAACTATGATCCATACCATCTGTTGTTTCAAGCCAACTATTGTTATCACTGTACTTAAGCGCCATCCAGTGGTCAAAAAGATAATTTCTCCACCAGAATATAAGTGTTTTAGGCTATCTCCAGTGTTTTTTTTCTCTCACTCTCCTCAGGGTTCATGTGGCTCATGCTGGGCCTTTAGCTCTGTTGGGGCTTTGGAAGGTCAGCTGAAGAAGACCAAAGGTCAGCTGGTGGACCTCAGTCCTCAGAACCTGGTGGACTGTGTGACTGACAATGATGGCTGTGGTGGAGGATATATGACAAATGCCTTCAAATACGTCAGAGACAACCAAGGCATTGATTCAGAGGAGAGCTACCCCTATGTTGGAATGGTAATAGTCAGCCTTATACTAAGCCTTTTTTGTTGCATTTTTTTTTCAATGATTCATTTATGTTATTTGGTTAAAATGCAAAGGAGGTTTTTCCAATGCTTTGGCACTAGATTCAATGACTACGTCTTTCAAGCTACACTGTTATTAGTGTTTTTAGGTCACTGTTTTTATGAGTGACAAAGTGTGTTTGTTTGTTGGGTGACAACTTCTGCTACTCTTATGGAAAAATGACTTGATTTGGGACACATATGAAGTATTTTGGTTGTTTTAGTGCATTTTGGATGTGCAAGGCTGCCAGTCGGTAAGGCGATCAGAATGGAATTTGGAAAAAGTTAACTAAGGCTCCGTCCACACGGAGACGCGTTTAGCTGTATACGCATACATTTGGTATCGTATAGGCGTTTCGTCCACACGGATCCGGCGTTTTGGGTGAGTGAAACCTATATTTTTTGAAACCGGGTCCCAGAGTGTATAAATCTGAAAACGCCGCCCCTGCGTTTTCGTGTGGACAGCGAATCCGTATAGTTTCTGAAACGATGACGTCATCAGCCCACATCTCGCCCCTAGTCAGACACCGCTACGCCACGTAACAGCAACAAAAACAAGAACAAACACTGAACGATTGTCTTTTTATTAACTAACATTAACACAGATTAATAAATGTATTGTTCCATGTTCGTTTGTATACCGCGCACAAGGTTTATGCGCATAGTCCAAGTCTTCTTCTCCGTTTTTAGTGTATCTCTGTGGCAGAATTACAGCGCCACAATACATACTGGTCTGGCATGTATACTACATCGTTTTGTGTCGGTTTTGTGGTTTCATGTGGACGCAGATATTTCTTGAGACGAGGGGGGGGAAAGATCGGATAGGGAAAGCTCTGGCTTCGTGTGGACGTAGCCTAAGTTTTGAGAAATGTGTCCTAGCGACTGTAAAAAAAAAAAAAGTAATGACAGTCATGATTTTTCATCTCACTACTGCCCCCTGCAGGACCAGCAGTGTGCCTACAACAGCTCAGCGAAAGCGGCCACTTGTAAAAGTTATAAAGAGATTCCTCAGGGTAATGAGAGGGCACTGACTTCCGCTGTGGCAAAGGTGGGACCTGTGTCAGTGGGTATAGATGCCATGCAGTCCACCTTCCTGTACTACAAAAGCGGTACTTAACATATCTTTACATCATCTACAAAGTGTTTTGTTGTTGTTGTTGTTCTGCTGAAATTTTTATAGTGAAGGATAAGACTAAAATCTTGACCCCCAAAACCCATTTCTAGGTGTGTACTATGATCCCAACTGCAACAAGGACGACGTCAACCATGCAGTTCTAGCTGTTGGCTACGGAGCCACACCGAAAGGCAAAAAGTACTGGATTGTGAAGAACAGGTAAGGAAAATATGCTGGAAGCAGAGCACAGCATTGTTAAAATACTAAATAAATTATTTAATTTAAATAAAAACATAATGATTAAAATGAACAATTAATGAAAATGTTAATAAATGAATGTTAATTAAAAAAAAGTGCATGTAAGTAAAAAAAAATAAAATAAATAAATAATTACATTTCCATGTTGTCATATTCAGCATGTAATAGTGTAAAATTCTCCTAATCCATTTGTTTTTTTGTTTCTGTTCTTGAAGTTGGGGTGAAGATTGGGGGAAGAAGGGGTACGTCCTGATGGCTCGTAACCGTAACAATGCATGTGGCATTGCCAGCCTGGCCAGTTTCCCTGTCATGTGAGAGCTGGAAGTAGGGAGCACACATGGGACCAAACTTGTCTGCTGCTGACCAATAACAAAAGGGACTCAATCAGTGTGCTCAGAGGCGTCATGCCCATTCAAAGTGAGGGGGCACGTGCCCCCTCAGATTTTTAAGCCAAGTGGATTTTGAATGCAGCTTCCAAAAGGCAAAAAATAGCCAAATAATATTTTTAATATTTGATACAATCACACCAGCATGATTAAATCGTTCAGCGCGTCATATCAGCTTCTAAAATTCAAATCTGCGTTCGCTGGCTGGTGCTGAGCCAGAGACATACGCGTTTTTACAGCATAACCAATCACACACGATGCTGTTGAGCTTATGAATGCAATGACCAATCAGAAGTGTTCAGATGAGTCATCGCTAAAATGCCGGTGTTTTCTTCACTCACTTGCTACCTGAAAACCTCTTTCTGGCGAATTCTCTCGTTAGAATCAAACTACAGATGTGTGTATGAATCTGTAAGTAAGATATTCATTTCACAGTGTAAACAGCTTCAGTGATTTTAATGGGAGTTTTTGAGAGTGCTTGAACTCTAGACTGTGAAAATGTTCTTTGATAATGTAAATGTTTTTTGCTCTCTTTCTGTACGATGAAAGTGTTATTGTACAGAACGCCCCCCCCTCGTGACCCCTCAAAAATAATGAGTGCATGACGCCCCTGAGTGTGCTCCAGCATTAAATAATGATTGAGGAAACACTCTCTAAAAGTTGCAGTTGATTTGAATACCACAAGGTTAAGTGTATTTTCCTCTTGGGTCTTAGATGTCTCGTTCTTAATCCTATCAATTTGTGCAGTTGAAACTGTTTTGTGCAATATTTGAAATTCATAAGGGAAATTTTGATATTGTGTATACAGTCTGTTAAACATTTTTTTTTATTCCCCTGGTGGGATCTGATCTTTGAAACACTTGTTTTATAATGTTTTGATTATATAGATTACCAAGGTTTTTTTGTGGCAATATTAAATAAAATGTTTAATTTTGAGTACATCATATTTGGGTAAAAGTATCTTAATGTCATTTTCATAAATGTTTTACTTCAGTGAGGCTCGATCATATGTTTATCACACTAACACAGTTAGTACCACAGTTAGTACAAGTCAATATTACACCTCTGTACAGAAACATATATAATAAATCAACTTGTCCTTAAACCATGGTATCTGTACGACATACCGGTGGGTATGAAGACTTAGTTTTAGTTGTGTTGAGGTGGAAGAGAAAGCATCAGAGCCTTTATTTTGGGAAGCTGAAACCAAAAGAAGTCAAAAAAAGAAACAACATACTGAACTAAAAACTGGGCTGGGCTGTTTAAACAAAAGTCATGACAGTTATGTGTTCAGTGGTATGAAATCATATGACCATGACTGAACCACTTCCCCATTCCCCAGATGAATGACCCAGCTTTACCCTTTTTTTCTTGTATCTTGTACCCATATCTTCACATTCAATAACTGCCAATTAAAATCTCTGAACTTTGACTTTACATCAAAATTACACTCACAAACAAACAACTTTACCTTCTTGTAATTGCAAATTTATGTTTTACAAATGCAAATGTCAAGTGCTGATAAAAATTTTACTGATTTGTTATATATTTTATTACATTTGTGATGTACAAATAACAAGAAAGTACACTGCAAATGTAAACATATGTAAAAAGAAACAAAGTAGTAATTGTGAGAAATAATTACAAAATGACACAATTACAAAATTGAAGATGATGAATAGAAACTTAAGCAATGCATTCATTAGCCACTATTAGTGCTAAAAGGATGCCTGGTACAAATTACATTTAAAAAAAAAAATGTATTTCACATTTATTTTATTTCACATTTTTCCAACAGTAATTCAGTCACAATTAAGTATACAATTTCACATGTGCAGTGCCAGTGCCTCATTTTTGAGTGTCATGCCTCTGTAGGCTTCTTTGCTCGAGACTTCTGGATGTCAGAGGCATTAATTGACATTTATCGATTAAATAAGAATTTATTTCAGAAAGCTTTGCATGGTGTGAAATGTAACATGACTATTTAAAATGGTCAGTGCTGAACACCACTTTCGGTTCTGCATGTTTGTTTGTGTACTTTCTGAATGATTGAAAGCTGTAGGCCTAGTAAATGTTTCACAGAGCTTTTGTTCCAAAATATAACCACAGACCACATCAGTGTGACATGAACTGATGGATGTTCTGGAAACAGCATATTCAGAATCCACAAAATTCTCTTTTCTGAGAGACAAAAGATAATTATCATTTATCACTCAGCATGACCTGTAAGTTCTAATATTAACTAGGAATTCCCCTAACCGGCCCACATTTAATCATTTTAAATGCAGCTAAATTATTTCAGTCAAAATCAGCACCAGGTCAGCACAAATATTTGTCAAATCATGATGATGACTCATTTTATAAGTGAACAGCAAATGCTTCATGAATGGAAAAAATTAGGTCATGCTACCAATTGTTCCAGTTCCGCAGTGGTTACATGGCCTTTATCACTTTTGCCCAGTGGTAAGAAATGTAATTCTAAGCACAACATGTTCATTTAGGACCTAAACCTTGTGGCATATACACTCTCAAAGCCAGATACCAGGCCAGCAGGTGTTTTATATGTCATGTGCTTGCGTGCTTGAGTAGTGTTTAACCACATGATTTCCTCTCTTTCTGTTTCCTGTATACTTTCACATATCATGTGAAAATGTTTAATTATGGGTGTAGGTCTCAACTACCACGTTGTTATCAAGTATTATATATTTTTGTCTAAAATGTATAATATGTAGTCTAAAATGAAAAATAGTTACTGTGTATCGCTCGAGGAATATCTTCCTCCGGTGTTTAATATAAATTCCGCGAGATGGCGACCCAAACACAAGATATGAGAAAGGACGTAGACAAGCAACGTTCTCGGTTCTGATCCGTGTGAAACTCAGAACCTAGTGCCTAGACAGCTTCTTGAAATGGAGGTGTATTTCCACTAAATGATGTTTTATTATCAAGGTTCGGGAGGAGCGCGTCAGATACTTCGCCTAATTAACACAGGCGAAGCGCACTCAAGTTAATCGACACCATGTTATAAATACAGCTGACTTACCTCTATCCTCTTTTTTATTATTATTATTGAACAATATCAATTTACAAAACTAGGCTATAATTAATCAAAGCCTCGGACACATTTTTAGGTTACTGCAATTTGCCATGTATCTTACTATTGCATATAATTATTTTTAATATTAATAATAGTACATTTATTTTTATGTTTTATCATTTGATTAATTCACATATTTAATAATAAATACTTATATCCTTGAACTATTGTATTAATCAGAACATTACATGGTATGATTTTATTTACTACATTAATTAGCCTACATTTTAGTTTTTAATTACATTTTTATATTTGATTACATTAAATATAGGCTAAATATTTTTTTCAAAGACATCTATGCCATATCACAATAAGCAGAGATTAGCACGTGATGGAACAAAATAAAAGCAGGAAGCAGGAACCGAAGACGTTCATCATCTCCTCTACAGATCACCAGAAGTGCAGCTTAAAAAGAGTGCACAGGTGAGACACGGGTTTGTTTTGTTGTTGTTCACTTTTATGTGTTTAATCTTTTGTCTCCTTTGTCGGGTTTTCCTCCCAAAAAGTTTCTCTTTCGGGTTTAATTAAGGTGGTGACTGGTTTTATGAGAACATTTCCTCAAAGCGATTTAAAATGTTTCCAGTGTTTTATTACTTGTCTGTAGTAACTTTGGGTTTAAAGTGAAAACAAACAAACAAAAAAAAACACTTTAATTGTCGTGTGTATGTATCGTGGAATGAAGGATCAGGTGAAGTCGATCACACACCAGTGTTAGTTTAATTTCCGTTTCTTCCTTATTATGGCCAGTGTGTTCTCTTGTTTGGTTTGAGTGGTCAACCTTTGAAATTGCCATTTTGCCTCATTAATCTATCTGGTTAAAACTCATTTTTACCTTTTAGGATTAAAATTGGGCTTGTAAAACGACCCGAGATATAATGGCCTACTTCATGCCATGATACAGGAAGAATCAAGCAATTGCTCTGGTTTACATAAGTACAGCGCATTTTGGGGAGTCTGTAAATACTTAATGTCTGGATTTATGGAGTCTGATCACTTACTGGATTTCCTCAACCAGTTTTGCAACATTTGGATTTGAACATTTTTTACTTCCTTTTTGGTGTACTTCTGTTCCTTAATTTTACTCAGAATTTGTTTCCTTTTATAGAAAAATCAGACTTACCATGTGGTTCATTCAATAGATATGAACATTTATTAAAAAAAAACAAAAAACTATAGATTGGTAAAGAAGGAAATGTGTTCATACTTTGGCTGATTTAGTTGTGAGGTTTAGGCTAGCTGTGAACATCATGCAATGAGAATAAATTGACAGACAAATTACTGATGTTTGAATACATTATGTCAGTAACTGACGGGTGTTTTGTTCTTGTCAGGCCATGATGCTCGGGAGCTTGCTGTTTGCCGTGTGTTGTAGCGCAGCACTGGCCCATTTCAACACAAATCTAGACCAGCACTGGGAGTTGTGGAAGAAGACGCATAACAAGTTTTACTCCAGTAAGGTGAGACTGAATTTCACAAGCATCTTTAAGATCCAAAAGCTAATCTTTCATGTACTTAAGGATTCATTTTCATAATGCTGTTTTGATTGTGTTTTTGTGATGCTAGAATAGTTTCATTATTATAGTTTGAAGTGGTGTTGATGCTGTCCATGTATTGGAGTTGTATTGAAATGTCTGTCTTTGAGCTTGAAGTATTTACAAAGGATATCCGTAATAAATGCAGTGATTGCAGTCTCACAACAACATGTCACATGTGTGATCCCTGTAATATGAATGTTGTTTGTTGCAGGTTGAAGAACTGGGCAGGAGGGAGTTGTGGGAGAGAAACATTCAACTTATCACCCTTCACAACCTGGAGGCCTCCATGGGCCTGCATTCATATGACCTGGGCATGAACCACATGGGTGACATGGTGTGTGTGGTTTTTCGTTCATGGTTATCTGCATGCAGTAGCTTCCAGTTTGCACAAGTTCCAGTTTTGCTTCTGGCCTGCAATAATGCTTTATTTTCATAGTTCTCTG